TTTCTTCTATACAAGGTCTACAGGGTCCCAGCACAGATAACGACTTGTAGTGATCCTCCTGTTTTCAGCCTCCCAAGCACTGAGATTACAGGCCCGTACCACCACACCCAGTCCACCCTGTCTCAGCCCACCATGGGGGGCGGGGCCAGCACAGCAGGCAGGGGATCAAACCCCAGCCCCTGCGTCTACTTAAGCAGGTGTTTTAATTGGCTGAGCTATCTGGCTGGCCCACAAAAGATTATATTCTTATTCTTGGTTTAGTAATAACTGTTTAGATTGGGAGTAACTGTTTAAAGATAGAGTTCCTAGCATTAAATTGAATAAAAAAGCATACATTCCCCACCCATATGCAATAATAACAACTGTAAAAAAATCAAGATCTTTCCCTTCCAAAATGTATGTTCTTTTGTACTTGAGCATTTCTGCAGGGTGGAAACAATATCAGCTTCATCTCATACAAGCTGAAGATAAAAGGGGTCAACAGGGGTGCTGGGCAAGTGGCTTCTGAGTGCCTCACAAAAATAGCACTGATAAAGATTTTGGCATCAGTGTCACCTCCGGTCACCTGTGCACCAGAATCTGTCCAGTACTCACTTCTAGATCCTGACTGATCAGTCCGAGGACCACGTCGATGCATATCAGGGTCCCCGAGCGCCCGATGCCAGCGCTGCAGTGGGTGGTGATGGGGCCCGCCCTGTGGACATGCCTCAGGTAGGAGATGAAGGTGAGCAGGGCGTCGGGCTGGGAGGGCGTGTCATGGTCAGGCCAGGCAGTGAAATTCAGATGGAAGATCCGCCGCACTTCTCCTGTCTGAAAGTTATACCACAGTAAACACATGGCATCATGGTGCGCTGTATGGTTATTTAGTATTATTTTGTCCATTCAAGCTTTTTCCTTTTCTGTGGAAGTGGGGATTGAATACAAGGCTGAGGGGTATCCTGGACCCCCTTTTAAAACACTTACTGTGACAGAGGGTCTTGCTAGATTGCTTAGTTGCATAAGCTGGGCTTCAACTCCAGACTCTCCTGCCCGGCCTCCCAGAGTGCTGGGCTTGTAGGCCTGCATTACCACTCAGCCTGCTCTTTCAAATACTGACTCATATATTGGACCAGATCAAGACAGAAAGCAGAAGAGACAAAATGACTCTGTTAAGAACACATGGAGACCTCATCAAGGGGGCTGCTGAACCCACATTTTCTGTGTATGTGGTGCTGGACAGGGCAAGCGCTCTACCACCAAGCCACCTTAGCCCAGTGTGGTTAGTCTCAGGGCCATATGCTCTTTCTGACCAGAACACTGTCCCCTGCTGTCCCTCTGCTCCTCACAGCTCTTCTCAGATGCTGTCTCTCAGGCTACCGGATGCTGCTGAGGATAGTGTGCACCTTCGGGCCTGCAACCACCTGTCCTTCTGTACTTTCAATTTCCCACAGCACCAGCAGCTCCTCACTGGGAAGTAGTGCCCACGCCTGTGGCATTCCCTGCTGCACCCAGATCCCACCTGTCCCAAGGCAGTGCTCTGTGACTGGGTCTCTGAGGGTGCTGGACTGCTGTGCCCACTGAGGGACAGGTAAACTAACGTGAGTACAGAGATACCTCTGTGCTGAAGTGGTACCTGGTCCTCAGCAGTATGCACACTTTTCATGTGTCAAAAACATTTTGAAAAGAGGTTTAACTTTAATGTTGCATAAAATGAATTCCAGAGGAAATTCTCAGGCTCCATTTATACAGCACCAATAGAACTGAATTTGTATGTCACATTCTCATAAAAGCAAAGTAATGCTCTGGGCTTCAGGGAACCCTCCAGCAGGGGTCCTGTACGACAGCTCAGGTGACAGGAGGGGGAGCAAGTGTCACAGAGGGACAGCACTAATCTCATTCAGGCTAAGTTACTCAGAGTTACCCAGCTGCAGGAAGAATCAGCCACATGACAACTGTTCGTGCTGTAATAGTCCACATTGCCTAAGAATAGTAGCTACCTTTAGTGAAATGTTTTGTTCGCACTTTTTTAAAAAACAATGAACCCACTTGGATGTTTGGCCTTTTAAAAATAAGTTTCCAGTTTGGCCTTTTAAAAATAAGCAGCTTCTGGCCCATTTTATGCTATTAGTAAGCCAAAGGTGACATACAATTACAAAAAAGGTTCTGTTTCCTTTTTATTTTCCTATAGCAGTTACTGTAGGACACTAGTGACACATTTAAAATTTACTTGGTAAGAAAAGAGCTCTACCACACTGGAAGCCACGACACAGTGGCTTCATCTATAAACCCTGACTTGACTGTGGAGGGGCCCCATTTTTGAGGAGAAACCAGCCTTGGGCGGTCACCTGAATGTCTTCCATGGTCATCGCCCGAACCACAAAACCCTTCAGCTGCTGCGTCCGCTCTAGAGCCAGGCGTAGCCGGTCATTGGCCATCGTTGTTTTGCCTAGGAGGTTAGGCCAGTAGCGCTGGCATTTGATCTTTTCTCCTTCTACTTCCTGTGTCATCATGGCTATCACCGTGGATTTTTGCTCCCAAATCATCTGCCAGAAATCTCCAACGGTAGTGGGGAGAGGCCCCTGGCAAGCAATGTAAACAAACTCCTCCTTGCCCACGGGAATCTTGATGAAGCTGGCGTTGATGTAGCCCCCATCATCTCCGAGAGGCACCCTGGTAGCGTCATCTGTGAAGTTGGCCACCAGTTAGTATGCCTTGTGTGTATGAGGCTTACAGCAGTGTAGGCGAAGGTCACGGACACCCTTACATAACCACAGACACAACTGCAAACACTTTCACAGCCTACTTTCAAATTTCTGCACAGCTAAATGGTTTTACATTTACTTCTTTCACTCATGTTTCACAATGCTAGCACATATGAAATTTGGTATTTTTAAAACTTCAAAATAAGAAAAATAGCAAAAACAACTTTGCTACTTCTATTCCAACATTTCATTTATTTTTTCCACTCCAACATTTTAATGCAATAATAGGATTGAATAACAATATCACTTTTCACAGAACAAAAAATCAGTATTACCACATTATAAAGTAGTTACTGCAGATACTAATGGCATAATTACATAACTCTTGTATGCCTAATTTTCTTGTTATTTCTTTTATTAGGTTACCAAAGCAATGAACTAATATAAATAAGAAGGCAACTCAGTTGCATGTAGGCTTTGCCTTTGTCTAACTGGAATTTTACACAGTCAGAATATAATTTTGTAGCTGGGTGTGGTGGTGCATGCTTGTAACACCAGCACTCGGGGGGCTGAAGCATGAGGATTGTTGTGAGTGCAAGACCAGCCTGGGCTACAAACTGAACTCAAGGCCAGCCTGAATTCCACAGGGAGACCCTGTCTCAAAAAACAAAAAACAAAAAAAGAAAAGCAAATATGTATGAAATGTATGAGAGTTTTATTTTTTATTTAGGACAGGGTCTACAGGATCTACAAGGTCTCACTACATAGATCAGACTCGTAGTGATTCTCCTGTTTTCAGTCTCCCAAGTGCTGGGATTACAGGTGCATGCCAGCACGCCTAGTCTCAGTGAGCCCAGGGGGCGGGGCCACAAAGCACATGGGGCTCAAATCCTAGCCACTTTGCTCTGCCTAAGCAGAAGCTTTAGTCCACTGAGCTATCTGGCCAGCCCTGAAATTTTTGATTAAAATCATAAAGTTATTCTAGAGAATAAATTTCAATGTACATATACATTAAAAATAATTTTTGTATCTATCAAATTAAAAACCTCTTTTAAAAAATTTTTAAGTTGTTTTGTTTTTCTTGAGATGGAGGGTCTCACTATATGGTTTAGGCTGGCTTTGAACTCAAGGTGATCCTATTTCAGCCTTCCAAGGGCTGGGATTATAGGTGTGCAACATCATGCCTGGTCATGAAGCCTTCTAACAGGTGTTAAAAACTATCAACTGTCCTTTATTAGTTGACCTGCATCTCTTAATCTAGGCTGTTTAATTCATGGGATCTATACCGCACATTATTATTATTAGTTTTTTTATAGTTGTCCCTTTCAGATTTTAAAATACTCAGCTGACCATCTTTTTGTCTTAAAATAATTTCCATTTACTGTATGTCAAATCATTTTAAAACTATTGTCTTAAGATTTGTGCTGGGGGCCTGGCCCTAGCTCAGGCCTTTAAGTGGCTGCTTCCACAAAGCTGTCAGCCTCAGGTTGCTGGAGTCCGAACCTCACACCTCTCCAGCTGGCCAAAAGTGCCCTGAACGCATTCGAGGAACCAAAAAAAAAAAAAAAAAAAGATTTGTGCTATGCCAGGGAGATAGCTCAGTGACATAAGTGCCTGCCTCACAAGTGCAAGATCCTGAGTTCAATCCCTGGTACCACAAAAAAAAAAAAAAAAGTTTCCTGCAAGAAGATTTCCAAGATGAACTTCTGCTATTCTTCCTGGTTGACACCATAGTGTTATTGCATGATTTGTTACTGTTGGGTCAGTGTCTCATTTACATGTTTCAACCCAACAATTCAGGGTTTGCTAATAACCTTAAGAAGCTGCTAGGGCTGGTGAGATGGCTCAGTGGTCTAAAACACCTACTTAGAACAAGCTTAGCAGAGCACAGTGACCGCGGTTCAATCCCCCAGCTCCACATGCCAGCCAGCTGCACCCCCTGGTGGGCTGAGCTGGCCACACACACACACACACACACACACACACACACACAAAAAAAAAAATTAAAAAAAAAAAAAAAAGAAGCTGCTAGTGTGTTTTTATGTTTCTTTTGTGGTTCTGGGGAGCTAGTCTAGCACCTTGCTCACGCAAGCAAGGGCTCTACTTCTGCACCACATCCTTTAAGACTTCACTATTTTTTCATATATGTGTGTGTGTATATATATATATATATATATATGAATATATATATGAAAGATATATATTAAAAGAACCATTACTGGTACAATGAATAAAAATGGGCTAAAATAACTGCTTTTGTTTCCTTTTGGTATCTGCCATGAATCTTAGAGAGCCTGGCCAGGCGTGGTGGTATACAACTGTAATCCCTGCACCTGGAAGGCTGAGGCAAGAGGACTCCTCCCAGTTTGAGGCTAGCCTGGCTACGTAGTTCAAGGCCAGTCTAAACTACACAGCAAACAAGCAAAATTGTATCCCAAAGGAAACAAAACAAAGCAAAACAAAAAAATGTCTAATGCAGCCTGGCTATATCAGTACAGTCATATGTTTGTATATACAGTGAGTAGTTACCAGACATTCCTGTAAATTTAGGTGGAATAAATTGATGATGGTTGTAACATATAAATCTAAGACAATGCTCGTCTCTTCAGAAACCAATCCATTCATTTATTCCCCCCTTGGCAGTGCTGAGAACTGAACTCAGGGGTTTGCATGTGCCAGGCAAACACTCTAAGATGTAGCCTCAGCCCTGCAATTCATATTCTGCAAAATATTTTATTTTTTTTATTTTTCAACAAATAATACACTGCATATATTCTTCTGCAAAATATTTTAAGATTACTGATTTGGAATCACAAATTAATTTCATATATAATAATAAAAATTCAGGAATATCCTAACAAATATGTAAAATTTTACTGACTTTCAGAACATACAGCTGATTTGAAAATGAATTCACATTGTGTATTTATAACATAAATCTCTGAATATGTGTATGTGTGTGCACACTCATGTGACAGATATATCAAACTTTTAAACAGTTTGGGAAGTATATTGAACATACACTCAATTTGAAGCCAAATTGACACTTACAGGGAAGAATGTTTTTATATCTGTTCTTCCTTCTGTTTTCCTTAGTCTGTCCAATTAGGCACTGATCCAATGGTTTTAATTCTTGAAGATTCTGTAAACAAAAACAGATTTGTTGAGAGGTATAGCAGAGCAACTAAAAAAGTTTTCAATGAGTGGGACGCACAGTTGACTAATGAGGGCTGATTTTATAAAGCTGTTAAAAGAATGTCTTAAATAAACCTAAAATTAATACTAATCTGATCAACCAGTGTTGAAATCTATTATTGTAAGCACACCTTTCACTGAGTCAACTTACTTTATGAGAGCACTTTGTGCCCTAAGTTTTAATTTTAGTTTAAAAATATCTATAATATTTTAGGAAAAAGTACAACTTTGGTGGAAGATGGTACAGAGCACAGCTTCCTGACAGTACTGCCTGCTGGGTCACACACGTGGTGCTGTAGTCAGACTTCCAACGTCAACACTTTCTCAGTTTTCATTCAGCCCCTTATGTGTCTTGGAGAAATTAACAGGCTGCTGCGATGGAGAAAAACAAAGACCTACTTTATTAGGAGTATAATGGAAGTTCTAGGATAAGCTATTTAAAGAACTTAAGCACCATTTTTTATGAGACTTTGGCTGGTGACATAGCTCAGTGGCACAAGCGCCTGTCTGGCAAGCTCAAGGTTCTGAGTTTTATTCCTAGTACAAAAAAAAAAAAAAAAAAAAAAAAGACTTTTGGGAGGGAGAGGAAGAGTATGTATACAAAGTGACAGCAACAGTTCCTTTTAGAGGTCAGGAAGCAGGCAAAAGAAGGGATGGGTTGAGGGAGGGGCCACGACAGCCCCAGGCCACAGAGGACTGCTTCCATTTTTCCTACTGCTGCAGTTGTAGAGCTGTACTACGTTATACACTGCTGCTAGCAATAACCAGATCATGAGGGTTATGAGATGGCTGGAATTCATACTTAGCCTTTTGTATTTTTTAACTTTTTATCTTTACATTTGAGGCAGGGAAGATAATCTTCAGGGAAACTTAACAAGTTATGAGTAGTTACTATGATCTCCTTAAATCAGTACTACTAGAATCCTAGTGAGAATTACTTATGCTAGATGATGTTTTTGTGGTTAGAAGTAAGATAACTCCTGGTAAATTTTCAAAGAATTCTAACCTTATGCTATTAAGGACACACATTTTCCTCACAAATGAATGCATAAGCTTTGCCTGCGTAAAGGCCAAGTTTACCTCCAACTCCTTAGAAGGGATTCCTTGTTCCAGTAAGCCCCGCAGCATCTGAATGACAGATTTCAGCCTGGCACCACTATATCTCCCTGAGGGCAGCACTCTGACGACAGGAAGCGTGGCCAGCTCCTCACTGGTCAGGAAAAGATGACCTAGCAGGAGGGGAGAAGACGGTGATAGTTTAGAAATTTTTCCTTCAGATTAGACGAATCAGTGGCCTAACCTGGACTTATTCTTACCTCCTGTGTTATTACAAAGGGGACACTCTGAACATGAGCACACTCAGGGCAACACCATACACAGGCCAATGAGTGCAGCAGTACCAAGTGTGCACAGTGTGGCCTCAAGTCTTTCCAGTGTGCTTAGAAATGCTGAAGGTTCTTGATCCTAATGTACTTATGCTTTTGAAAAAAAAGTTTATATTGTTTCTTTCTTCTTCTATTTTAATGACATTGCTCTTTAAGAGGAAAACAAGTAGTTTTGTTATTACTTGTTTTAACCAATTATCCCATGTAATTGGTTTCTAAGCACACAGGGAAAGATGAAGAGAAGCGCTTCAGAAATACTTCTATAGGAGAGATGGCTCTAGTTTAATAGAGCTCACTCATGTGAAATAGCTGTCAACTTTTCTACTTACTGAGGAGCGCCAAGGCTGGGTGATGAGTGTGGGGACTGGACAAGAGTGCGGTCGGCGTACACAGTGTGCCCACATTAAAGAAGTGCCAATTCAATATCCTTAATTTTAAAAAAAAACACTTCAAATGGGAAAATCATGCTTTTTTATTATGCCAAGGTAACACTTTTAATACAAAAGCAGAGAAATAAAACCCCAGACAGAACATCTCTCTACTGGCTCACTATTAAAATGAGCAGGTGGCAGTAATAATGGGAAGAGACCAATGGACTGGTTCCTCAAAGACAAGGGAGGGAGTCAGGAAATTAAACCCTGCCTTACCAGCAGGCTACCTGTTTTAGTACAAATAAGACGTTCCTTGACTTCTCATTCTACAAGGGCAAACTATGGTTTTGTGTTTCCATTTAAGGTACTTGTGCATTCACTTGCATGACCTCCTCCAGGCCACTGAGCATTTCAGGCTACTCCTGTGTGAATGACCTGTTTATACAGTGAATGCGGCTGCTTATCTGTGTAATTCAGCTTTATGCACAGAACCATTTGGTGTACATGGATGTGAAAATACCACTCGTATATTCTGAAACATTTCTAAACACAGTCCTATGCACTTTTAATGAATGAATTCTGATCAACGCTTGCCTTTCTTGGACTCTTCATGGTCTTCAGTCCCTACTGGCAAGTTACCACTTCCCCAGGTGACTTCATCCTCCTCCATCTTCCCCTCTTGTGACTTTTGCAGTGTGCTGTGCCAACAAAACACATTTGTAATGTTTTCTCTTTCCCCACAAAATACACTTAAATATCACAGCCCTTAACCTTTCATTTTCAATAAAATTATTAGAGTATTTTAGGATATATTATCTGATTTAAAGAAACCCCAAATCCATAATTCTTAAAATTTATTGATAGATACACATTGAACTGAAGTACAGAAAAGCTTAACACAGTTTTCAATCTGTCCTCACACAGAGCCCTAGCTTGGGCCACAGGGACAGAGAAAGATGTGCTTCCACGTCCACCCCTCCACGGGTGAGGGACACAGGCGTGTCAGGCAGAGCTCTTTTCTGTCCAATGCCAGCCCACGTCTGCATCATATGCAAGCACCTACATTCACCTGGAGAAATGCCTTGGATAGAGCCTGGAGGCCAGAGGGCGCTGTTGTATCAGGACCCTCAAGTAACCGAAGGAAACTGCACCTGAGCCCCACTACTCTAGGGGTACACAGCAGACGGCAGACCTCTAATGAGGATGGAGAAACTGGTTGAAAAATAACTTTTTTGCCAAGGTGGAATGAAAAAGGACTATGTAAAAGTTTGGGCACATTTTCATTTTCTGAAAGTCAGGGAAGAAGCAGAGAAGGGCTAGCTGATGACACCATATATGCCATAAGCAGGATCGGACTAAGGCCCCACAGCGTCAGTAGTGGGCAGCAGTTAAGCTGCTTTATGGTGGGCATTCTCTGCTCCTGCTGTCTGTGGGCCCACTTAGCATGCCACGTGAAAGTGCTGCATCCCCGAGGCTGGTCTGTGTTCCGGCACACATGCAAGGCCATATTTGGAGATCCTTCCATCGTCCAAGTTCTTCCCATTCTTTGAATAGCTGCTCAGTATCTCATTGCATGAGCGTACCTTAATCTACCATCTCTTCTAGGGTGTTCTGCTACTACAAAGTTGCAATTATTTACTGTGAGCAATATTCTAAAAGAACACTGCATTCTCTTGTAAAAAGGTCTCTGAACATCTTGGGACTCAGTGGGGACTCATTCTTAGATATACAACTGCTGGGCTGAAGGGGATGTATGATATTTCTCTGATCTATACCCCTAATCTTTGTAAGTACACTATTCTGTTTTCATTAAGAAATATTAATGATTATAACAGTAATAGCCTTCATGATTTTAGAGATGTTAAACACAAGTACATCCAAGAATTAGTAATATGAAAACAATTTTATATTTTAATAATATTTTCAACTGTGTCCCAAAGAGACTACACTAAATTTACCTTTCCTCTTGTTCCTCTTTCCCTATATAAAAAGTAGCCTAAGGGGTACCTGTTAATGGAGACCTCTCTTTTTTGGTATTAATCATTAGGTGTAAAACTGCATTAATTGCAATGTCCTAACTTAGTAAAAAAAAAAAAAATTCACTGTCAATTTGCTTTTCTAGGAATTCTGCTTTTTAAGAGGCAAATAAATAGATTTGTTATTATCTCCCATGTAATTGGTTTCTAAGCACATGGGGAAAGATGAAGAGAAGCACTTCAGAAATACTTCTATAGGAGAGATGGCTCTAGTTTAATGAAACAAATAGCTTAGGAGAGCCAAGGGCGTAATTGTGTACCTGATCTATGGAAGTCACTGGCAGAAAACAACTGTTACCCTAGAAGGGAGGTGAGCTTTCTTTCTACAGTGCCTCCCTGAGTGTACCTTAGGTAGCTATGCAAAGTTTTTTTTTCACCGATTATCACCACGTAAGAAGTGAAATTTATGTATAATCACTTTAACAATATCACTTTGTCAACAATATCACTTTGTCAACAACATGTACACTTTATCAACAATATGTGGACCTTGTCAAGAGAGTCAATGATATGTATACTTTTGTCAACAATATTTATCATTTTGTCAACATGTACAATTTTTCTGGTACACAGTGTTACAAAAAATTTATAGTAGAGGGCTGGGAGATAGCTCAGTAGAATAAGTGCTTGCTGGCAAGCGCATGGTCCTGAGTTCAATTCCCAGTACCACGAAAAAGAAGAAAAAAAAAAATATATATATATATATATATAGTAGAAAGTTTTTAAAAAGAAAAAAAATTAAAAAAAAAAGAAAAAAGAAAAAAAATTTGTGAGGAGTTAAAAAAACGTTTCTTACCATCTTTGCTTTCATTATTTCATTAATGAAATTAAAAATTCTGAAAGTACAGAAAAAGAGAAACAGGAAACTAAATTATCCATAACCCTAGAAGGAGAATATAATCACTGTTATTGTTGTCAGCATATCTCCTTTTAGAAACGCCTTTTTTTGCGACTGAGGATTGAACTCATGACCTTGCACTTGCCAGGCAGGTGCTTAAACCACGCAGCTATCTCCCCAGCCTCTTCAGGCCATTCTTGCATTCATTTTTTTTTTTTTTTCCCTCATGGTTGACTAAACAGAGCTTTTGAGGAACAATAGTATAATAAATGTATTTTCAGTCAATACTATTTCACTGTTAGAAATTTTAAAACAGTTTAAATATTTAATCATGTTTCCATACTTTATTTAACCAGTTTTATTTTACTGGAAAACAAATGGAAATCTTCAGAACATTTCTGAGAAAAAAAAAAGTGTTAATAGTTTGAAAAATTATCCTACCTTTCACTGTTTAGTTTTTCTTCACAGTATTCTTCACAGCCATTCATTTCAGTGGACTACAATGAAGAAAAATGAAAATTAAACTACTCTAACACAAATCCATTTCATGCTTATGTTCCTGTGAATTATTGCTGTTCTTATCCATCCTCATATTATAAGAACATACACGACATTCAAATCAGTGCACCACAGACAGTGCCTGAAGGGTCCTCATGGCTCAAGCATTTCTGTCGCCACAGTTACTGATCTTCATAGGCATTGTGGCTTTCTACTTGTTATATGAGGATATAATCAATCAGTAAAGAGACAAGGAGAAAGCAAGGAAAACACAAATTAGTGATTATTTAGATATGCATATTTGACATATGCTTTTAGACTGCTTAATTTAAAAATCTGAAAATGAGCCAGACATGGTGGTGTGTATCTATAGTCCAGCTGTCTGGGAGGCTGAGGTAGGAGGATCATTTGACCCTGGGTGTTCAAAGCCAGCTTGGGCAATACAAAACAAAACAAAGCAAATCTGAAAATAGCTCAAGACAGGAGATTCAAATGTATTAAAATTAATTTGTTCTTTCACACTCAAAGGTCAGTGCGCTATCTAGTACTTTAACTTATTGTGTTCTTTTGTGATCACAATACTATATGAAGCCCAGTTTGCTACAGTTAGGACTTGTCAAGTTGTAGCCTTAAATGGTGAGTAAATTCCCCATTTCAGTCTTTCTCGGGGTGTTATCTTAGCAGGCAGGAAATACTTTTGATGCCATTGCTTTGAGTGATCTGGCCCTTGTCTACCGGTTCAACCTCCCTTTCTCCACTAGGCTTCAACAGGTTCAGGACTGCTCACCTCCTACCACGGAGCTCTCCTTTGGCAGGCACATTTAAAGATTTAAATACCTGTAAGTGTCTTCCTCGTGTGGACATTTCCTAGCCCAGTGATGGTGAACCTTTTAGAACTTCAACAATAACAAACAGCCCGCTGCGGAATGAGTGCTATAGGTTCGCCACCACTGCCCTAGCCACTCAATCCAAAGAAAGTTTCCTAGGTTATTTTTACTGCTGCACCTTTAAACCCTCCAGTATAGAGGAGCCATACACCCCTCTTCTACAAACTATAGTGACCAAGGCCAAATGAGAATATGAGATCCCTCATTTAACAACGGTTGTGGAACTCAAAGATGGTGATGGCATGGCATTACTTTATGTCGCAGGGCTCATCTGAACACAGAGATCTGAGGCTGCCCTGGTAGTGTGTGCACAGAGCCAGCTTACCCTGTAGGCAAATATGATTAGTACCTAGACAATGAGAGCTCCTGGAGGTTCTGTGTGGTTTCAGAATACTTACAAATGTTTGCAAAATAACCTGGATTAGAAATGAAATAGGAAGCATACCAATGCATTTCAGCACGATAATGCCATGTCTTTGGAGGACATCTTTTTCCTATCAGGACCCTCCCTATTCTGACCTCATGGGGGAAGCATCTATCTCTCAGGAAGGTCACATCTCTAGAGACATGAACAGACCAACAGTCTCTGCAGACATCCAAGTCACATCAGTAACCAATTTCTCCTCTATTCAGCCTTCAGCTTCAAAACACTGTGTAATAGATATCCTGTTTCCAATGACACGGTGCCCTGAATGTATCTGGCTGACCCAGGCCTTTCTGCTCTTGCCAAAGTAGCCCATAGGACAGAGCGGCCTTTACCATCTCATCTCAGCATCAAATAACATTAAAAAGCTGGCTTTTTAGCCAGCCTGAACATCCCAACCTACCCACTCTTGCACAGACTACCATTTCTTTCACTCTTCATAACCCCTTCAGAATGATATAAACATTTCACTAAACCTCTTAATATAGCTTTTACACAACTGCACTTACTTATTTACATATGTACATCTCCCACACTGATCACCAGACAGTATCTGTAAATGTAGGATAAAGCACTAGTGTCTCTTCTTACTGTTATTCCCAGCAAAATCAGGGTCAGACAGGTTCAGAAAGAGCTGAATAAACACTGAACTTTGGATGACCACTTATACTAATGTATATGACTAACTTCCTCATTCTTTTATTCATAGACAAAATATAGACACTGACTAAAGTACTTTACTAGAGGCAGTAAAATGTAGGGATATTTATAATACAGAGTGGCGCATACAGTGATTCTCCACCAGTAACTACCAGAAGGCTTACCTTTCCTTTTTTTTGAGGGGGAAAGTACTGGGGGATTGAACTGAGGAACTTGCACTTGCCAGGCAGGCAGACGCTTATGCCACTGAGCTATCTCCCTGGCTCTCACCTTTCCTTTTTAAGATAGTTCTATACTTTGTAATCTGAATGTTTAACATTTTCGCTTTTTAAAATATTTTTTAAAAAATGTATTTGGTACAGCGTCTCACTATGCAGCTGGGATTTGTAGTGATCCTCCTGTCGCAGCCTTCCTAGTGCTGGGATTACAGGCATGTGCCACCATGCCCAGTCTTGGTGGCTGGCTCAGCATGCCTGGGGGTGGTGTGGCATGAGGTACCAGGGATTAAACCTGGGTGCGTATGCTTGCCAAGGTAAGATGCTTAGACTGCTGAGCTATCTCCACGGCCCCAGCATTTTTACTTTTGGTGTGGGCTAAAACTTTCAGGATTGTACAATATGCTGTGAGAGCCAATTCAATGAATAGTCTACAACATGTTTAGGATGCTCTGTAGGTAATCTACTTATAAAAGATTGTACACAGTATGTGACTATAAAAAGACATATACAAGACTATATATACTTAGACTATATAAGTATATCTAGACATATATTAATATATAGTATACAAATATTTTAATATAAAATATTTTAATATAAAATAGTGCTTGGGATTAAGCCCAGGGCTTTAGCTTCATGTGTACTAAGCAAATGCTTCTTCACTGATATTACGTATCTATCATTTTTAATTTGAGACACAGTCTTGCTGAGTTTCCAGGCTAGACATGAACTTGGAGGCCGCCTGCCTCAGACTGCTGAGCAGCTGGGATTGTGGGTGTATGCCACCATGCCAGACTAACAGACTATTTCTGCAAGTTCTGAAGCTCTCTAAAAACTAGCCAGTATTAAAATGTGGCCATATTCTGGAAACAGAATACTGTTCCAGTCTTCCTTTCAGCTATGGAGATGAACCATATGCTACTTTTGAATTGTCTCCTTATGAACAGAATTCTTATGGTGATTTAAACACATCTTGTTTAATATAAATAAAACTCTTCAAGTTCTTACCTAAATATCTTTTCTCTTTCCTTGAATTTATTTTCTTAGTTTGTTTTACGTACCAGTAGTTAAAACTCAAGTTCCTAAGAAGTATTAATTTATTACTTCTTTGGATGGATTACCCCCAAACGCTGTGCTGTAAGCATCATGTATTCTGAGTGCACACACACACACACTGGTCTATCTATATTTTTGTTCTTTGTTATTTCTGAACAAAGAAATAATCTCTGTTCAGCATGATAATGCCATGTCTTAGAAGAACATCTTTTTCCTATCAGGATCCTCCCTATTCTCCTTTAAGACTTGTCCTTGGTAGTTTCAAATGCTAATTTTCCCATGTGAACTTTAGAATCACTTTATCAAGTATATCTCATTTGTCATTTAAGTTGAAATGTTTTATAGGAACATATTCAATTTATAAGTGAATCCAGGGAAAATTTAAAACTTAGGTATTCTATCAAAGAACAATGATTTTTTTCTTGGATATATCTTTTATACTTCTTTGTAGTGTTTTAAATTTTCCTAAGATAGGTCTGGCACATTTTTTTCGGTTGAATCTATACCTAAAACTTTTGTTGGTAACCACTGTAAATGAAATCTTAAGAACTGGTTAAGCAAATTTAACTGGTTAAGCAAATTTACAACTAATTAAGCAAAAATTGTGGCAAAAACTGAATTATATCCTTTCTACTGAAATTCATAGGTTAAAGCCCTAACCCTCAAAGTGGGTTAATACTGGAAAACAGGTCCCTATCAAGTAATTAATGTCTAAACACTGTTATAAAGATAGGTCTTTAATCCAACAATGCTGGTGTCTTCATACAAAGAAAATAAGGTGGCAGGAGTGCACCAACCAGGAGAAAGGTCACACGAGGACAGTGAAAGGCAAACCATCTGGGAGACTAGAGAGAGGCCTTGTCAGAAACCAATCCTGATGGTACCTTGCTCTCAGACCTCAGCCTCCAGAACTGTGAGAAAATAGAGTATTGCTGTCTAATAAAGTCCCACCCCATCTGTGGTCTTTTATATGGTAACCTGAACAGACTAGGACAGGCTGCAAACTGAAGCATCTGCAGTGAGTGACCAGACCATCAGAACTGTAAACTGGGGTGGGGCAGAACAACAGGAAAAGGTGGTGGTCTTCGAACACAAGCCACTTACATTTTGTAAAATTAATTCTGTCATATGAGACCTGAGTATTTATAGCACCAAAACCAAACAAATCCCCCAGGAACCTTTGTTGCACTGTTTTTCATAAAATATAAGAAATTTAATGATCACGAGGGATGGCCAACTTAATCAGTTGATACATAAACATGATAAAATACTAAAGCATTAAAAAGTATGAAGCTTATATATATTCATGTGGAAAGAAAGTAATGATCAAGTGTTAAGGAAAAACCAAATTTAGAACAGTGTGTTATAATTCATATTAAACAAAAGACAATGGCATTTTGACATCAACTGTTGCCACCATAGTTTAGTTATAAAGGAAAATCTACACATGTTAACAAGATTCCCTCCCCCCTTTTTTTGTCTTTATGAGACAGGGCTGTAGTTCAGACTGGTCTTCGGCTCACTATGGCCCCCCTGCTGGCCTCGAACTCACAGTGATCCTCCTGCCTCAGTCTCCCAAGGGCTGGGATTGTAGGCATGCACTACAACTGGCACTTCCCTACTGTAAAGGCATCTGATGTGACATTTTTGTTTTGCTTTTGAGACAGGGTCTAGCTATGTAGCCCAGGCTGACCTCAAACTCTTGGAAAGCCCCCTGAGCCTGGGCTCACAGGTGTTCACTAAGCCAGGCTTAAGGTAACATTTTTGAAATGGCAATTAAGGATTTTGATCTATTTTCCTAGTTAGAAACTCTAGGATGTGCACTTTAAGTGTCACTCTTAATATAATTAATAAAATTAATGATTATTAAAATTAGTTATGATAATTACAATTACAACTTAAAAGTGTTCAGAAATTTTCAAAGAGCCAATTATTAATATTCAGATAGCATGAAAGAACTTAAGTGATATCACTAAAGAACATATTTGATGAATTTTTATTTATTTATTTTTTTCAGTACCAGGGATCAAACTCAGAACCTTGTGCTTGCCACTTACTACACTGAGTTATCTTCCCAGCCCTCATATTTGAGATATTCAGTATTGTGTAATCAATTGTGGGATTAGGAAACACTCAGCAGATTTAAGCTTCCTTGTGCATACACATTAAACATTTCTGTGTGGGTATGAAATCATGTACAAGTAACACAGGTGACAAAACTCAAATCAGCGCAGTCTGAAAGTTTTGAAGATGTGAAGCAGAAGACTAAGAAGGGTGGTAAGAGTTCTAGTGTCCTAGGCTGTTTGTCCAGGTGCTGTCCCCACCTCAGCAAAGTCCTCAGGTAAAGGTGAGCCATCACAGTCTGTGTCTTCTGCTCTCTCTTCTGATAACCTCCCATTTGTTTTCAGTGTACCTGAGAGAGAAATATACAGGTCAAGAGGACCTTCTGAAACTAATGTAACAATAGAAAAGTTTTCATTTGTCTTCAAAAGAAAGCAATTAAAAAGATCAATATTCACATTTCAATGTTGTAAATGTCAGGAACAAATGACAGAACACATCAGTGTAGAATTTCTGATGAAAATTATCTTTGGGACCAGAGGTGCAGAGGATATGCTTGATATGTATGCGGCTTTGGGTTCACGTTTAACACATGTGCAAACACACACAGAAAAACCTCCACATAAAGCACATGAAACAAAACAAAAACAATTACAGAGAGTGCAGTGTCCTCACAGTGACTTAGTATCAAGTAGGAGGAAATGTTGGGAATGTTACTTCTTTTGTTTTTTTCACCCGGTACTGGGGATTGAATCCTAGGAGTGCTAAGCTACATTCCTAGCCCTTTATATTATTTGAGGCAGAATCTTGTCCAGGCTGCCTTGAATTGAGCTTCCTCCTGCTTCAGCCTTTTCAGTGGATGGGATTACAGGTGTGTACCATGTGGGCCTGGCCTGGACTGTCACCTCTAAAAACAAAAGCCAAGCTGTTACTGTCACATTTTGAGATCTCATCGACAAGGTAACTCACAAATACAGGAAGGAAAATATGTACATATAGGTTGTAAAACCTATTTTACTTCTACAATACTGCCTATGAGGAACTGGGAGTGATATGAATACATTTTATATTTACTCCAAATATGTCCACTAGAAACATCCTTGTACTCCTTAGAGTACCAATTTATCCATGTGGTTTGTGTACCTGGAACACAGGCATCTCCTGTTGCATTGTTTTCATTTAAAAGATTCTGTGCTTCCTCATCCACAACATCTAGCAGGGATTGGATAACTTCAGCTTCTTGAGGATCATCATAAATCTCATCATCTTGTATATCAGAGTCTTGAAAAACATTAATTTACATGAATTTTACTTAGAAAATGCTGAATTGAGAAAGGGACAATGTGATAGCACTTCGATTTCAAGCATCTACTCTGAAAGGCAGTTGTGCTCACCCTGGCAACCTCATCATCTTTAGCTCTAGTTCTGGTTGGTGTGACAGAAGACCCACAAATGCAGTTTACAAAGAATAAACCAAAAAACAAGTTGGTATGATAGTGTCCCCTGGAAACATCAGAAATTAAATATAAATGTTTTTTAAAATTAGTATCAAATTATTAATTCATGAAAGAAGCCCCCAGAAATTATACTATCAGGTTAAGGTACAAAACATCCCCAAGACAAAGTCTCTAAGCTGCTAGGTAGACTACCTTATCTGTGCAGCAGATAAGGCAGCGGTCTTGTCAATCATTTAAAAATGATTTTAGCCTCAGACAGATACTAGACACTTGTATATTAATGCAGTTAACAATATTGGCTTTATATTCCTTTATTTTCTTCAACAATAATTTTTCCTTTTAAAGCTATAGTGAGATGTAAGGCCAATATAAAAGGGTGTCTGATATTTCTGTTACCTAAGGCTTAGGGCACTTAAAGGAACTGGATGATATATTTGGAAAACTACCTTCTGGCCCAGTCAAAATTGCTGATCCCTTCATTTGAGTAGAACACTTTCCTTCAGGGTACAAAACTTCAATTATTTCTTCCCCATTAACCTAAAGTATAAAGCAAAGCAAACCATCAGTTTACTGTTTAACTATCCTCAAGGCTTGAGGAGAGACTATACATTGTCTCCCTCCTTCTTCCCAGTTCAAGATTGTTTTGTATCTTCACACTCTGAGCCTGTGTTGCTAGAAAAGTCAGTGCAGTCAACAGCCATACCACCCTGAATGTACCCGATCTCATCTGATCTTAGAAGCTAAGCAGGGTCGGGCCTTGTCAGTACCTGGATGGGAGAAAAGTCAGTGCAGGGCTGGGGATTTAGCTCAGTAGCACAGCACCTGCCTGGCAAGTGTGAGGTCCTGAGTTTGATTCCCAGTACTCCATTCCCCCCAAAAAATTAGTGCAAATGAAAAGTGCAAAGGCGTGGGACTTTCTATCATCAAATACACTTAGAAGCACTACTTTGTTTCAGAAATTCTTACATTTACTATATAATTTTTGAGTTGCTACAAAAGGAATATATTAGGAAATAATTCTGCAATTTATTAGATTACAAAAACCTCTTAACTGAGATGATTTATGGGATTTATCTTTCAAAGAACATTTTTGAAAAGTTTAATAGGACTACAAAAGCTTAGAAATTGAGGGAAATGGAAAACTTGCAATTATTCATGAGTGATTACATAGACATAGACTGCAAGTTCAGTGCTGTGTGAGGTATAAAGATTTTCACATCTTGTCTTTATCATATGTGAATTTATGAAAAATAATGGATGCATAACTGCATAATAATTATTGATCAACAGAATATAACTTTCTAGTGCAAAGATAAACTGCCAAGCACTTATGGAGCACAGTCTATAGAAAGACAGACATGGCCTGGCTGGACTATAACTCATCAGTAGCATGGACCGGCATGCGGCCCTGGGCTGCACGTCCAACACTACTAGAAAATAAAAAAGATCTGGATAAAAGTATAGTTAAATAACAGAATAAATTAAAATAATTTTATAAATATAAAAGATTGTGGTTTTCTTAGGTCTTATTCTTTTATTAAGGGAAGACAACTCCATGGTAGATGTGACAGAATTATTATAAATAGTGGTGTCAATGATGTCAAAAAGCATCACTGGATTATAAAACAGTATTTTTTTATGAAAAATTTATACTATAGACATTAACATTCAAGGACAGGATACTATCAGGGATACTTCCTGAAACATGAATTTCACTGAAATTGTTGGCAGCAATAACAAAAGTCCTGATGTCTAAGATTTCATGTTAATTTAGAAAAATTTTGTTCTTCTTTCAACATGCTGATATTTAAAAAGAAAACAGACACTGTATAGCATGAATAACATTATAAATGCACTAAAATTCAGTTTTTCCCATTATGTGAAACTGAAGATCTTCTAAATAAACAGACTACTGTAGCTTGGTACAAACATAAACACATATGAACACTCTTTTTGGTGCCACAATCATTTCTGCCCTCACATTTTTTTCTAGTGCAGTATCTTTTCAGGAGTTGCTAAATGAAATTATAAGTGTAAGATTACATGGTAAGTTGAAAGAATTTTTGGCTTTTAGTCACTAATTTTATTTTCTTTCACAACAAAGGTAATTCATATCTGGAATTCAATAGAAATGATAAGATTTTTAGAAAAGGAATGCATTTCACATAGAGAGATGTCATGAATTTTACATTTGTAGAGACTTGTGTAGAACGGTTCAGAATAGATGATGCAGGATGAATAATGGGATAGGACAATCCAACAAAATGAAGAACCAGCCACGATCATGTTAGAAATGTGCATGACATGCCAGAAAGATCATAAAAATAAATGCTAGCGAAACAAATGGCATACAAGTAGACTTAAAGTGAAAGCATGATGTGGAATTTATTATGTATTAAGATAGTTTTGTGACATTATTTCCAGATGTTTCTGTACAAGTCTTAAACAATTTCAACTCGTTTTATCATTTGGTGAAGCAATTTCTAAGCCTTTCAAAAGCATGTAAATCTATTTCTTAATGGCATAGATCTGTAGGTGACTACTGGCCAATATTAGTCTAAATGACCAATGTTTCCCCCATTAATGCACTGGGGGCTAAACTCATAGGTGCTCTATCACTAGGCTACATCCCTAGCCTATTTTTAAATTTCGAGACAGGGTCTCCCCAAAAGTACCCAGGTTGGTCTCAGAGGTTATTTTTTTGTACAGGGGATTGAACTCAGGACCTTATGCTTGCTAGGAAGGCACTTACGCTACTGAGCTATCCTTCAGAGTTTTTATTCTCCTGAGTTGCTAATAATATAGGTGTGTGCCACTGTGCTCAGCTCTATTCTTTTTTTTTAAATAAATTTTATTGTGGGCTGGTGTGATGGCTCAGTGGTCTAAAGCACCTACTTAGAACAAGTTTAGCAAAGCACAGGGACCGCGGTTCAATCCCCCAGCACCACATGTCAGCCGGCCCCGCCCCCTGGTGGGCTGAGCTGGACACACACACACATAAATAAATAAAATTAAAAAAAAAATTAAAAAAAAAAATAAAAATAAATTTTATTTTACTTTTTTGTCCTTTTAAAAATGTATTTGGTACAGGGTCTACAGGGTCTCACTACATAGATTGGACGCACAGTGATTCTCCTGTTTTCAGCCTCCCAAGTGCTAGGATTATAGGTATGCACCACCATGGCACACCGGGGATCGAACCCCAGGACCGTTGTCTACCGAAACAGACACTTCAGTCCACTGAGCTAACTGGCTGACCCTTCAGCTCTATTCTTTTATTTTTTTTATTTTTGCAGAACCAGGAATTGAACTCAGGCTCTTGTGCTTGCCAGGGAAGCACTTATTACACTGAGCTATCTCCCTGGCCCCAAAATGTTGCTTGTCTTTGAACATTCTTTTTTTTTTTTTTTTTTTTTTTTGGCAGAACTGGGGATTGAACTCAGGCTCTTGTGCTTGCCAGGGAAATACTTATTCCACTGAGCCAGCTCCCCAGCTCTCCTTCAGCTCTATTCTTAATTGTACTCCTCTTCTCATATCCTACAAGGCAACTGAGAAAGTTGTGCACATTAAAAAAAATCCCAAGAGTAAAGTTACATTTAAGAATTAACTTATTTAAGGGCTGAGTTTGTGGCAAAGGATGCAGGGTTGTTTATATGGGGCCTCTGTGTACTTTACCTATTAATTCACCAAAAATATCTTTCCTATTAATAAATTTACCTAAACAAGACAACTATTTAAATATGAAATCAGTCCAGTGTGAACAGAAACCATCTGGGAGTTCTGACACGACAGAAGGTAGTCTTTACCTACCTTGGAGAATGCGTCCCTGGGAGCAAGGGCGGGCTGGATACAGAGCTCTGAGCCGTGGTGGCCTGCAAGGAACAGAACGGGGGGCGGGGGGGGGGGGGGGGAAGAGCCAGTTACACTAACAGTAAAGGTTCAGCATAATGAAAGCTATATAGGTCTTCCTCTCTGATTTTGGGCCTCCTCACATCGACATGGCTAAGCGCACCAAGAAGGTCGGCATTGTCGGTAAATATGGGACTCGCTATGGTGCCTCCCTCCGGAAAATGGTGAAGAAGATTGAAATCAGCCAGCACGCCAAGTACACCTGCTCCTTCTGTGGCAAGACCAAGATGAAGAGGCGGGCTGTGGGGATCTGGCACTGTGGCTCCTGCATGAAGACCGTGGCTGGTGGCACCTGGACCTACAATACCACTTCGGCGGTCACAGTGAAGTCAGCCATCAGAAGACTGAAGGAATTGAAAGACCAGTAGAAGCTCTTACAATTTGAGACATCTCTAGCCTATAATAAATAGGTTAATTTATGTAATGAAAAAAAAAAGAAAGCTATATAGCAACATCCAATGAAAGCTATATGGCAACATTCACGTCTGCTGTGGCACAGCGGGGGGTGGGGGGGTGGGTGCTGAGACCCACCTTGGCTAAGTACTGGGGTGGGATGTGGCTCAGTGGAGACTGTGCCTAATGTATGCCAAACCGAATCTCGGGTTTTATCTCGTGCACAATTGGATATAACCTACATTTTGAGGATTTTTTTTATTGCTAAATTAAAAGAGGCCACATCACAAAATGATCAACTGATCAGTTACTAGAATAAAATAAAGTAGGGTTAGCCTAAGAAAAAAGTAATTACTTAAAAGAAAATAGTTGACATAAAATCTCACTTAGGGCTGAAAGATTCAAGAGTGAGGCATTAAATATAAATTATATCACATGAATGGGGGTACACCATAGGTGCTGAAAGTTACTACCCTACTTCATGAGCTAGGGGGGTTAGCAAACCTTTTATCTCACTTCATAAAGACTATCACTCCAACATAGGAAAATACATTATGGGCATAACTGAAAAAAGTTACAAATATGACTATATTTATAAGCCAGATATTAGGTTAAAAACTATCAAACTGTTATCCAAGATGGTTGTAACATTTTGCATTCTGACCACCTGAAGAGAGTTCCTGCTACTGATACTATATGAATTTTAAAATTTGTAAAGAAATTGGTGCTAAGAGAAGCAAGTCAGAACATCTCACAGATAGCTTGCAAGGTAGCATCACCAAAGAGCAGGGCACTGGGAAGTGACAAAGAAGAATTATCTCAGAGGTCACTAGAAAATGTCCCCAGATTTCTTAATGAGCTGATTCTGCCATGAATTGGAACTACAGAGGGCAGTAAAAAGGACCTCTTTTGCCATTTAGAAGCTTTAGCTTTTAGAATATAAACAATTGTTATAGTAAAGTTTCTTCTAGCTACTTTTGGTACTTAGATAATAACCTAAAAGACTAGTTATGTTTGAAGTACTGAATTTACTTTTCAAATGCAGCAAGATCAATCACATTTCTCCATGTCTAACATACTAGTACTAGCAATAAAAGCTACACTTGTAGGCCCGGGTTATGTAAAAGAGCATAGAATCAGACTTCCTGGGTTTAAATTCTGGCTCTCATCTTCATTAACTCTATGAACATGGGTTATCAAATTTCTCTATGCCTCAGTTTCCCTCTCTATAAAGTGATACCAATAACACTAGAATTATGGAGTTACTGTGAAGATTAAAGTATTTAAAAGAATGCTTAATCTAGAATGAGCATTCAACTGCTGACACAACAATTATTAGTATTTTTATTGATATGCTAAAACGTAAGGCAGAATCACTACCAGGCAGAACCAAAACTAATCTCTGAGGAATGCTTTAGTCCCTTGTGGGCCTGGAGATAGCACCACAGGAATCTATCTACATTAGTGAGTTTTGCTACCTATGCTTTATCTGCCATTTATTTGCCTTGTTTTTTCAATTTGCCACTCATAAAGAATACAAGCCTTTTTCTTTGTCTTATCATTTCCCTAAAAGTTTACTATTATTTATTGAAGATGCTGTCTAAACTGAAATTCAATTCCACCCCTCTGAAAATTACCCATTCTCTGGGTGTCTCTCATGCATATATGAAATATATGTACTTATAAACTTCTGCTTGTTAAAAAAAGTAAGGCAGAGACAGTGCACTTATATATTTACAATGCCCAGAACACTGCCTAACGTAGAGGCAATCAGTTAATTCATTTTTGAAGAGTACTTTGTGATGAATATAATGGTGTTTCACATTTATACCTAAGTATCACCCTTCAAGGTAGAAAATAATAAGAGTAATAATGACACTCCCACTTATGAATAGGAAATAAATGCTTATGCATGGATCAAGTAACTTGCTGAGGTTATAAGCTTAGGCCCACTGGCTATGAGTTTTGTACCTCACCCTGTTCTACTACTTGGCCTCTATACTGTACAGTCTGAATTTCATTAAAATACAATATTTGCACTTAGATTCTGCAAAACATTTTGAAAGAGCAATGAAAGCATTTTACATATAAATTTGCTATTCAGAAAAAAAAAGCTAGCTCTCCATAACTGCTTGTGTTAGAAAATGAATATGCCCTTACCATTGGCTTTGGTTGACTCTGGAGTTGAAATGGCAGATTTCTTTGAACTTGGAAACACCGGGTAACCATCTCTGTGGGGAAAAAAAAAGTTGCAAGATTTAAGATAATTTGTTTAACTATCCTCTGAACTATTTAACAGTTTAAGGGTTATTTTGGATGGACCTCAAGGCGAGGCACACTGAGGTAGAGACAACACTTTATGAGTTTTCATCTACGTATTTTCTGGAGGGAGAGAATTATGACCCAAGAAACATTAACTCCTTTACATAATCTTTCTTTGGATTTCAGTTCAACACAACACCCCGTTTCTCCTCTCATTTAAAACATTTGGAATGTTCATGACCTAATAACTTAGTTCTCTGTCAGTCAGTAGCTAACTCAGAGATAAATGAATTGAGAAGTTTCTAGATTACAAGTTTTATATATCTAAAGTCCCTGATATAAGTTTTTCTTTTACATATTTAAAGGGAAAACCTATAGGGAATGTATACATTCAAAGAGTTAATTATAAGAATAGTACCACCCAAAAAGGAAACCAGCCAAAAAGATGGAACTCTGGGGAGCATGGATTAGCATGCAATCTTACCATGGGTGATACGTGAAGGGAGGCTGCCTATGGTTGGCAGTGTTGGGAGGGTCATTATGACACAGGCTTAAACATCCTGTAGGTTCTTGCTGGGCAGCCCACAAATGCAAGGCCCTGACCCTAACCTCTTCCTCCCAGGCTATTTCTTGAGGTTCTATTTGTGGTGAGCAGCCTAGAAGGATGAGTCAATCTTCCTCACCAGCAAAAAGCCAGATTCTCTAAAATGGTGGACTGCTGAGGCTGCTTTTACACTTCCCTTTCCTGTGCAGATCCATTAGTCCCACAGATGTTATCTCATGGGCCTTCAAGGGACACTGAAACTGACCCTTCACTATGCTCATGCAGCCTGCTGTATCAGTCTTTTATTTCTGTTAGTAACTTTTATATTGGTCAGTAACAAAGTCTTATCTTTGATTCAGGGATGATACGTCTTTTGCCTGAGTCCATGAAAGAGTAACAGGCTAGCTTATTAGCTTGCAAGCAGGTAAATTCCCAGGGCCATTATAGTTCTTGACATTGGTAGTATAATTACTACCAATACACATCCCTCCATTACTGCTACCATGGACTTAGAAGAGAACATATGTATAAGACAGTGGAGAGAAGACTGAATGAAGAACAAAAGGGAAAGTTATTGTGAATACCACTACAATATCTTTAGCAACAACAGTTAAGACAAAAGTAGAAAATCAGAAAGAGAGTGATTTCAGGATTGGGTGAATATACTCTATTACTTTTGAGGCAAGACATTTTGCTATATCTAAGGGTGACAGCTATGTTAACTTTCACAAAAATATTCTCAGGCTGTTGGAAGAGTTCCCTTCTGCAATAATTTATGTTTAGCTAGATCTGTGAAAGTATGCCAATCCAATTTTTAGAAACCTATAAAAGAGTAATGTCAGAGATTATATTCAAGAAAAAAGTATACAATTAACTTAAAAGATTCAGAAGGAAAAATGTGTATCAATTATTTAATTCATAAATTTCCATATTTAAAAAGAATAATTCAGACGCAATTGTGAATTTGTCTTACTTTGTAATTTGGACTCCTATACACTGTGCAGGCAAAATATGGGTAAAACCCACAAATGAGGGCTGGGGAGATAGCTCAGTAGAATAAGTGCTTGCTTGGGAAGCACAACACCCTGGGTTCAATCCCCAGGTCCACAAAAAAAACAAAAACAAAAACACCCCCCCCCAAATGTGTACATGCTAATGATATTGCTCTATCCTCAGAACCTGTGAATATGCGGCTTTATAGGACAGAAGAGATGGGAAAATTACCTGGGGTTATTAGAACTGCACTGTTGTCACTGGGGCCCCACCTAACACATGAAATAGGGGTCAGGAAAGTCAGAGGCAGAGAGAGATGCAGCAGCAGAAACAGCAGTGACCACTGGCATCGCAGACAGGCGGGGACCAGGAAGCCACGGAAAATGGGGAGTCTGTAGAAGGCGGAAAAGGGAAGGAAATGGGTTGTTTCTGACAACCTACAGAGGAAATGCCACCCTGACGATCCCTTGATTTGATCCCAGTGAAACCCATTTTGTACTTCTGATCTCAAGAACTGTAACTATCATGTTTTGTCTTAAATCGCTAAGTTTACGGTAATTTGTTATAGAAGAAACAATGTTTTTAAAATTTCATTACAGTAAACCTGTTATTAGCATTTTTAATCCTGTGAAGCTATTCTGAGCGGCAGCTCATCAGTAGTGAGGTGCAGTTCTGCATCTCAGTAGTAGTGACAGAGGGTCGGCCAGCAGGAGCGACCAGTCCTAATCTAGGAATGGGCTGGTACTGGCTGATGTCAATAAACTTCCCTTTATCCCTTGGCCTCAGTTCAGGAGCTGACCCTACTGAGGCTGGGGGCAAAGGCACACACGCTTTGCCAGTGGTGACTGGTGAGGTGGGTTTGAAGATTGCTCTGCATGGTGCGTACATAGCTATAAAACATGAAAGCAATGCAGAAACTTGCCTACCCTAAAATACAAAGTATAACTGAAAATAGCAAAGAAAGAGAACCAGAGCTTTGAGCACTCTTCACCTGACGACTGCTTTATGCAGGCTTTAAAAATCATATAGACCAATAAATTCTCTTTCTTGTTCTAACAAAGATGACTTGTATTTCTGTTATTTGCAACTGAAAACATCTTAAGTGATAAATGTGTTACCTGTTCTATTAACTGGAAGCATGTATTTGAAGACTTAGCCACTTTAATCTGCCAGAAGTCTATTCTAATTTTGCTAAACCCTGCTAGTCTAGTCTGTGAATTGTTAATTTGTAGTATCTTATGAGAGTGCATAAGTATAAGCACAACCTGAAGTACATGCACACACATACACAAAGCCCATGAACTACTGCAGAGTACCTTGTTGCTTTCAGCACCAACGAGGGAAGCGATGTGTCTAATGCTCTGTTAGCTTCTTCCAAGGTCAGTCCTTGTGTGCTGACACCGTTCACATAATGTATGATATCTAAAAGCTGGAGATTGCCCTCGATAGCGGCAACTGACCTTGGATTGATATCACTAATATATAACACTTGATGAAGACTGTCATGCCCTCCAGATAAGCAAAAACCTTCAATAAATAGAAAAGAATTGTTTCCTCAGTCAGAATGGTATTTAATCTAGCCAAGAAAATCATACTATAGAAAGCCTGCATTTTCATTACCCAGCTCTTCTTTGTTGCATGTTAATGTGATGTCAGGCAGCAAATGGGGCAACACTGGCGTCCTGGGTAATTCTAGAACTCGACCAAGAACTAATCTGACTGTCTTGGGTGCTGCCCGGAGAAGATTCACGGCGTCAGTGTGAGTCATGCTGGTAACATCTGCATCATTAACCTACAAAAATCAAAAGCGGGCAAGTTAGGATTATAATTTTAGAAGCTCAAAGCTACATTGCCAAGAAATTACAACAATCTTTCTAGTTTTTATTTTTATGTATTTGGTAGAGGGTCTCAGTATGCAGCTTGAACTTGTAGTGATCGTCCTATTTTAGCCTCCCTAGCACTGGGATTACAGGTCTGTGCCACCATGCCCAGCATAATCTTTCTAGTTTTCTACATAATATGCCTTAATGAGATTAATGGGGTTTTCAAATTAAAAACCTTTAAGTGGTAAAAAAGGAAAACAAATTCAACAGAAAAACAGTATTGTATTAACTCAACCTTGTTCTTTCCCTAGCCCTGGCTTATTCTTCGGCAGTGATGGTGAACCTTTTAGGGACCCAAGTGCCCAATCTCAACCTAAACCTACTTATTTATTGTAAAGTGCCAACACTACAATTAAACCTGAACACTGAACTTTCAGTTTAGATTTTTTTTTTTTTTTTTTTTTTTGCGGAACCTGGGATTGAACTCAGGCCCTTGCACTTGTCAGGGAAGCACTTATTTCACTGAGCCATCTCCCCGGCCCCATGAACTTTCACTTTAGAAAAAACAACTCATACTTGGCTCATGTGCTGACAGAAAGGGCTCTCCATGGCCACTGCAGCAGCCCTGTTACAGGTTCACAACCATTGGTCTTTGGTTACTGCTGTGATGGGGACAAGATGCAAGTCTGTCCTTCCAAGCCTGTGTGCTAGAGGTGTGGTCCTCAGAGAGCTGGGGCTTTTACAAGAGTCCAGAAGGAGGTCAGTAGGTCCTCATGGTGTGTTCTAAGAAGGAACTGGGAAGTCTAGTGTCTTTGGCTTTCTGTTCAAAATGTGATCTCTTTGCCAATGCATGCCCTTCAATCTCCAAAATCATGAAATGAACAAACCTCATTATACAGCAGACTCACCTCAGATATTTCAATATAATGACAAAAAAAAAAAAAAAAAAAAGATTAAATTACATTTGCACAAGTCTTCCATTCCTCTCAAAGGTCTCACCTTTATGAGCCGGTCTCCAGGCTTTAGCCTTCCGTCACTTTTGGCTGGATCCTGTATGACATCGTGAACATAACAACCAATGCTCTGGTTGCCTTTGGTTACTGTAAAACCCAGGCTTCCTTTTTCTGATTTAATTAGAGTAATGGGCAGTTCTACTTCCTAGGGAAAGACAACAGTGATTCCTTTAAGGTTGTCTATTTTACCCTACAGCCAAAGGAAAAGATGATTATTGTGATTAGCTAAAGAGAAAAACAAATCTTAAAAGTTTACTTAGGGGGCCTGCCCCTTAGCTCAGCTCTTTAAGTGCCTGCTTCAACAAAGCAGTCAGGCTCAGGTTGCTGTGATTCAATCCCCAGAACTCAAGCCAGCCAAACCTGCCCTGAAGGCATTCAGAGAAAAAGAAAAAAAAAAAATCCTTCTGCCATGGGGGCCGGGAAAATAGCTCAGTAGAATAAGTGCTTGCCTGGAAAGTGTAGAGTCCTGAGTTCAATCCCTGGTACCACAAAAAAAAAAAAAAAAAAAAGTTTACTTAACTTGACCAAGTGAAAAAACCCAAGTCTTTCATCTGTAGCTGAAATACTTCCTTCCCCCAAGCATGTAAAAGTTGGGTTTAAGTACAACATTATGTGTGTGTCTCCAAATAGCAGAGACAGAATATAGACATTTTTCTAGGATTTTCCCATTTTTGCATTTCTAGGCTAAACAAGGACACATCAGCTACTATTCTTTGATAATCAAAAAATACTTTTAGAGGAAAGATTTAGGAAAGGTTTTCACATATTTCTAAACACCAAAAATAGATGCCAAACAAGTAGGTGTTTTGTGCTGTTTCTGGTTCACACAGGGAGTTTTTGATTGATTACATATCTAAACTTCATTTATTAAGATGTGCAAACAAAACATCTTAAGATTTCCACTGAGATACACAGGTTGCTCACGTGGATGATGACAGATTTGAAGGAGACCATTCAAATGTCTTTTTCATTCTACCGCTAAGAATGAAGCCGAAGGAGGAGATGCTACACACACCATGACAGGGAAATAAAACACTTGAACAGATCAGCTCCAGAATATTTATGATTTTTTGATGGTGAGATATACATAGATTTAATCATTTTTTAAAGATGGCTTTTTACAATAAAGATTATATAAAGCAGTATTAAAATAGGTTTTCAACTCATAAAAAGATTAATATACTTAGAAATTTTGTTTTCAAGGTTGGCTTGTAGGTTTACAAGTTCAAAGGCTATTATCATAATATGAAGCATTCCTGTAAGGCATATGAGGAAAAAGTGAGAGAAAATATTCAAACTTTAAAAATTAAATAGGTACAGTTTACTCAAAATTGAGAAACAAATGAAAATATGGTTTACTAAGTGTGCAGTCTGGTGATGGCAACCTTTAAGAGCTTTCAATGATATAAACAGCCTGCTGTGGCACATGTGCCATCGGTTTGCCACTGCTGGTCTAGTCTGTAGCTGTGCTTTGCAGACATATTTCTTTAATTTATCTACAGTCCTCTCAGGTGACTAGCCCCATTGTATAGTCGAAACTGCTAAGAAGCAGAAGTGACTTCTGCACAGGTGTTTCCATAGGGCAGAAAGTCAGCAACCGAGCCAGGGACTTGTTCCCAGAATTTTTATGTTACTATTATTATTTTTTTGTCCTTTTCTCTAATTTTTCAGCAGAGAAAGACACTCGATATTATTTATTAGATACGAACATGAAGCTACTCTAAAAGGTAGCTTCTCCCCCACCCCCAACTAAAGGGAAATCATGAGTGTCTGCATCTGCACGAGAAAATACAGGATTCTGAAATACCTTACCAGCTCAAAGTCTTCAAGGTGGTTTTCCAGGTCATTTTTCAAAGTGGTCAAGTTTTCTCGGCTAGCTGGTTCAGAACTGTGATGTATGTGATACTGACCCACTGAATTAGAGGAATCAGATTCTAAGTGGGGTTGACAGCTCTGGCCAGGAGTCATATCCAATGGTGGAGGAGAAGAAAGGTTACCACTGAGATGAGAAAGAAGACTATTTTCAGATACATTCCAATGTCATAAATCATAAACTGTGCCATAACAAGTGAAGCTCAAAAATTCCTGTCTGGTTTTGAGAGCGTAGCTAATTTTTGTCCGATTTTTGACTATGAATTTATCTTATTTATATTTATATTTTTAATGTATTTAGTACAGGGTCTCACTAAACAGACTGGACACATAGTGATCCTCCTGTTTTCAGCGTCCTAGCGCTGGGTTACAGGTGAGTGCCACCACGCCTGGTCTCAATCATTGTCTCAGTAGCAGGCAGGGGCTGGCACAGCACCCCAGAATTTAAATGCCCGGCTATGAATTTATTTGTATATTGTATGCTAATATTATCTTTTTTTTTTTTTTGGTATTTTAGGGAAGCTTCTTTTTTATTTATTTTTCTTTATTGAGAAATAAATATGAATGAGACAGTTTCACAGCTGATTAACAGGACAGTTTTGATAGTCAATACATTGTACATTGTTATCTTCTTAGTGGTTATCCATGATACAAGAAGCAGACAGGATATTCTGACCAAGCACTGTTAGTACACCTCTTTCTTTTCATTGAGTTAAGTGAAAGTAGCTGTAAATTTATCCTATTTTGTATATATAAATACAAAATGATCTTTCCCTTGTATCTTTTAAAAAATTTTTTTATTGATTTATTTATTTTCTCCTGTCAGAGGTGAATATTCTATTGGCATCTAAATACTATAAGTGTTTGAATTCAACTAAACAATCTAACATTGTCTAGCAGTCTATAATATTAGTGGGTTATCCTCAGAAGTTATTGACTTGAGCCTTTTACAGCTCATCGTATTAATATGGATTTACTTTATATACCTCATTTTTAGACTTTTCTGCTGGATGGTTAAGACCAAGATATAGCAAGACCTATATACCCAGAATTGTAACTTTTGTATCTGATAAGGTCAGCCAAGTACTCTCAGGATTTATCCTACAGCCATGTACCACCTTTTGTACATTCTTTCGTCAGTGTCTGACATGAGGATGAGTCATGGCCACTGCTTGACCAATTTGCTCTCTGTGAAAGCTTGAGAAAATGTTTTTTCTCTCCATGTGATTCTCCCCAGGCTCACTTTAAATCCTCAAACACATTTCTCTGTGGCTCCATAATCTTCTTGATCAGAAAATTTGGAGCACAACTGAGTTACATGTTGTTACAGTACAGGTTCTCCTATGTCCCGAGTCTTCACTGACCTTGAAAGGCTAGGGCCAAAATGTTGGCTAATCATGCAGCCCTTCCTTTTCTCCAAATTTTGATCTGCTAACTTGGTTGTTAACTCTCCAGAAGAGAAGCTAATTATTAACCTGCAATATATGCAGAATGGTTTATCCTATCTGTAGAAATATCAAACATTTTGGCATATCCTGGAACAGGTATTTTCCATCAGATATTGATATGTTGAACTTTAAGTCCTTACAGAATATGAAGGAAAAATAATTATATAAAAGTAGAAATAAGCATTTACATATTTTTACAAAGAAATTTAGAAACCTAGTCATATACGGAATTGTAAGTCCTTATATTAGGGAGATAATACGATATTTACAGATGTGGGTCTGGTTTATTTCACTAATAAGTATATCTTCAAGGGGCATCCACTTAAATATGAAGGCTTCAAGTTTATCATTCTTTATAGCTGCGTAGTACTCCATTATATAAAAGTACCACATCTTTTTCAACCATTCCACATGTGATGGGCATTTTGATTGTTTCCAAGTTCTGGCAATTACAAATTGTGCTGCTATAAACATAGGTATGCATGTATCACTATGATATGACGCTTTCATAGGGAAGGTTCTATAGGATGTTTAGGGTCTCAGTACTAGATCAGACTCATAGTGATCCACCTTTTTACAGCCTCCCAAGAGCTGGGCTTACAGGCGTGCGCCACCATGCCCAGTCTCAGCACACCCCAGGGGTGGGGCCAGCACAGCAGGCCTGGGGATTGAACCCCTGGTCCCTGCGCCTGCTTGCAGGTGCTTTAGTCTGCTGAGCTATTTGGCTGGCCTTAATATTATCATACTTGACTCCTAGTTGTTAAGATTAACAGAAGATTAATATATATTTCAACTGAATTTAAAAAAGAAGACTAAATGTCTCACTCTTGGAGTTATTTGAATAAAAGGGAGGAAAAACAAAAACACAAACATCTAAAACAAATACAGTTAGGCCTAGATAGTACACAGATACAAACAAATGTAAAATGTAAGAGTTACTTCTAGAGGTATTGATGCAATGTTTTCTTTGTATGCTTCTATGCTTTTAATCATTTCTTCTTTTCTCATCTTGTTTTCTGCAACTTTCAAGCTTTTCTCTCCACTCCCTTCCCTGTGTAATTTGCACTAATCTTCTAGTGCATTATCACCTAACTAAATCTCTTCCATTTTTGATTGAGTAGTACTGAAAAACAATTTTCTCAATTACTGGTGAATATGCTCAAGAGGCTTAGGAAACAAAACTGTTAAGTCACAGTACTAGACACTGAATAAAGTCATCATTTCCCCAATCCCTGGGAAGTTCACAGCCAAACTCCTGGGGGTTGGGGGCATCAATTTTTCTCTCTCTCTTCCCTCCTTTCCCCTCCCTCCTTCTGTTGTTTTGAGTGTTAAGCATAAAACTGACAATACCTGTCCTCAAACTCCGGTTTATTGGGTATTTTCTGAGGATGGTAAAACATAGTGTACATTGCATTTTCTTGACTCTTGGGTGCTGCATGTTGACTCTGTGCTTGGGATACCATGTTGTTTAGAGTCTGGTGCAAAGCTGAACTCCAGGTCATGTTTGATATCTTTGCTGGAGCTTTTATCAAGTCATCTTCTCCATTCCCACTGCTGTCACTGTAGCTATCTTTCCTGGAGGGAGACTTGCATGGCTTCTTGTTTTTGTCAGACATTTCATTTCCACCTGAGCTGGTGCTCGGCTCCACCCATGATGGCTGAGAAGGGTCTCTACTGCTGCTCGGAAGCACCTGGGCTGGAGAATGGAGTGGGGTCTGTAACACATATTTAAAGAGGCCAGATGGTGAGAACTTATATCAATTTAGAAGCACTCAACTCGAAACAAACCTGTTGAATAACAGCACTTTCTATTAAAATAGTCACTTTTCTGACAATAAAAATAAACAGCACTCCCAGATACAGAATTAGCTAGGGATGAAACCCAGCAGACTAATCCATGATGAAAGTGCTACGGCTGAATCAACAAGTTACAAAATATGCATTCTATAAAAATATAGATTATTTCTTCTTACCAGAAGAGCAGTATCAATTTCTGGCAGCACACCAGGTGGAGGTCTACAGAGAAGCAAGCACACTTCTGGAGCTGTTCCCCGGAGAGCAGATATGACTTCCTGGGATACCACGAGTAACAAATGGAGACACCATTAACCAGCACCAAGACCAGCCTGCAAGGCCCAATCTACCCAGCTCCTTGTTACAAATACTCTACTCCAGTGCTAAGGCTCACCTGCTGTGACAGTCCTGTCAAAGAGGCTCCATTCACTTTCAAGATAACATCTCCCACATCAATTTTTCCACTCTCTGCTGCTGGTTGTCCAGGAAAGAGCTTTTTAACCCTTACTATGCTGGTGCTCATTTGCTCTGGTATAAGATTATCTTCTCGAGAAAAGCTGAATCCTAAGCCCGAGCTATTTTTCAATAGTTTTACCTCAAATGTATTTTCTGGAAAAAAGATGTAAAAATTAAACATTTAAAAGTTGTGCATGCACACATGCATACAAAAATACATACTTTTAGATATATTTTAAAAACCCTTTTTCCCTCTGTAGTTACACAGCGCACCTTCACATCATATTCAGATCCTATTTTTTTACTATGTCATTAAGAAAACTTAATGAATTACTTACAAGGACTAAACTGCTTCAACAGAAAAGATTTCTGAGGCATGAAAGACAGTTTAACAGGGGCATGTGAGGTGAGGTAATCCAGAGAAGGGGAAATACGAGAGAAATTCAGGTAAGAACAACAGCATTGAGAATCCAGCAAAATTTAGGTAAGAACAGCAGGATAAATGTTAGCTAAGGGTATGAAAACATAAATTGACATAAATGTTTTGGTGAGGACTAACTTAATCCAGAAATATTACAATGGCATTCTAATAAAATTCTTGGTAGCAAGATAAAGGAACAAATATCAAAAAGCAGAAACAAAACAAAAAAACAAAACTCACAATGAAAGAAAAATGATAAAAAAGACCAGTGTGAAAAAAATAGTTATTTTTATTTCCATAATCAGGAAAAATAATATAGGCTGGACCATCTTATTTTTGGCATTGATTCAGAACTGCTAACATTGTGTGATCAAATAGAGATTAAAAAAAAGGCAAACCGTGACTATGTACCATCACCATATTTATATGGTAAAGAGGATTTGAGCCTTTTTAGGGGTAGAAAGCTGGAATCTCAGATAAAAGTTATTCCAATATTATAAATATGGAAGAATTCACTATTACATCATTCTTAATTTTCAAATTTTACTACCAATTGGTGATATGTCCACCGGATGGCAAATTTTGTAAGAAAGACCAGAATTTGGGTAGTATTAGGTGGAATAGTACTCAAATAGGCCATGAGTTGTAAACCAACAATCAACCATCATATTTTGAATAATGTAATAACTTCACACTGACACGCGAGAGGTTTTCAAGACCTGACCTTCAGTAACAAAGCTATAGTCTTTGACATGAGTTGCTTTCTTCACCATGTTTTCTGGGGCTTGACCTTGTGGATTCTGATCTGGCAAGGTGCAGTGCAGGGCCACAGGGACCTGTTCCTTGGATGCTGGGGGCTGCCCTTTTTCTAACAGTAGATGAACCACCTGGATAAATGAAATAGCACTTCACTGATCAGGAAGATTAATAAGAAAATAGTATCAGGACTTTGTACAGTTGGAGTATAAAAGAAACTAACTACTTGTTCTACCAAAATATAGCCAGATGGAAAAAAAACCCCCAAAAACAAAAACCTACAAAAGAAAGGTTGAAAAGTTTCAAGATCAAATTTTATTTTCTGTATAAAAATATTGAGTAAAAACCATTAATATTTATCATAAAGAAAATCTATCATAAAATGTTAAAATCTATAATAATGGCATAAGAATCATTGAAAATTTGGGTATTAGAAAAAAATTAACACTAAATTATAATATAAAAAACCATTACAAATAATTTGGTAGATTCCCAGATCTGAAACTTAAACTCTGGTTTCAGCTTTTTACCAAAAGTTACTAAATAAAATGACTTCAGCTTTTGGGTTGAAGAATGATTAGAAGTGAAAAAAAAAATCACTAACAACTAGTAAATGTTTATGAAACATTTAAGCAATTCAATCTCCATCCCTTTCTATCATGTATGTTTGGTAATATTTGGGCTAAACAAGACCCAGAAAACCAGCTTCCTTATTAAAAAAACTTTTCTATTTTTTTGAAGGCAAAAACCAGATCCAGGATGGTTGCATAAGTCAGTCTTAGTTTCTTGACTAACCAAGGTCTCTGTGCAACTGACATCATTCACATATTATAATGTCTTTTTAGGATATCTTTTTTTAAAAAAAAAGTTTTACATTTATTTATTTATTTGGTACAGGGTCTTGCTATGCAGCTTGGACTCATAGCAATCCTCCTGTCTCAGCCTCCCCAGTGCTGGGATCACAGGCATGAGCCACCATGGCCAGCATGTACCCAGGGTTCTGGGGCTAGCATGGCATGTGGTATCAGGGATGGAACCCGGGTCTTAGCACTTGCCAGGCAGGTGCTTAGACTGCCAACCTATCTCCCCAGCTCAGACCCATATCTTCCCCAGGCCCTTTAGGGCATCTTAACAGGCAGGTATAATGATTCACTACCTGTCCTGTATTTCTCAGTATTTCCACAGCTTGCTTATGCGTAGCTCCTTCCAGACTTACTCCATTGACAGCTAGCACACGATCACCTAAAATTAGGCAGTAATTTTGAAAGAAAGAAATCACAAATATTCTACATACTTACATCTGCTAGTTCTACTTCACATTAATTTTAGGAGAGATTCATACAGATTTGGGACAAAAGTGTTTCCTAACTCCTTGAACATGTTATTTAATTTCTTCTTCAATTTTATGATGAATTTTATTATAGTTTTAGAGTATCTTTATAAAAACCAATTTAAATCATAAAAAAATGTTAAACTACAAATCTATAGGATGGAGGCAAGTCCCTAATTAGTCCTTGGAAATGTAAATGTCAGTTTTTTGGTCTTTTTGTAAGGACACTTGCTAGGACACTCTCCATTCTCTGGCAACTTGCTTATTATCAGGTCCAAATACACAGTAAAACACTGTGTACATGTTCTGATACTAAGGAATAAGATGCAAGAAGACTTTTTAAAGTGGTATCAATGCATCTCTTAATGTAGTTTCTAAGTATGTTCTTATTTCACATTATGAATTTAAGTGTCTATGTCAGTTGTATTACTTTTATCTGTATGTTGTGATATTTGTACACATAATTCCTACACACATAAAAGCATACCTTTATGGATTCTTCCATCAGACTCTGCTGCTCCTTTGGGAATAACAGCTTTCACATAAATTCCACCATGTTTGACACTGGTATTCACACCTCCCTAAAGAGAAAAACAAAAAACATTTGGTAACGTGAAAAATTTTGTACTTTGTCAGATTTGAGCATTAGAAAGGATTCAGTTGACCAGACAAAGGAGAAGCATTATGTCCACATGTGCAATTATATCAATACCCAAGAATACTGTTAGATAACTTTCCAAATGTCACAGCAGTTTGTTTTTGTCAAACTATTCAAATCAGGAAGTAACACTATGCTAGATCTCAATGATATCAGGAATTGCTCTTCCTTTGTGATTCTGTCATGCACTATAAGCAAGCAGAAGGCAAAGTCCATCTATGCAAAGTTTGCATGAGAACATAACAATCAGAAAAAGAACAGGGTAAGGAGTAACAGTTCCAGATCACATTTGCCAACCTGGGAGCAAATCCCATGAGAAAAGGAAAAAGACTTTTTAGAAAAAATTTAAAAGGCACATCAGAGAAGATTTTTTTACACGCAAAATGTAGTAAGTTTTGTATCTTTTATAGCCACGCAGTTTTTAATTTCATTTTACTATAGAAAGATGAAAGAGAGAGGAAAAGTGTTACAGTTACTTTTTAAAAATTAGTTTTATGGCCAAGCATGGTGGCATATGCCTGCAATCCCAGCACTCTGGAGGCTGAGGCTTTTTCACAGGAGCATTGCTGTGAGTTCGAGGCCAGCTTGGGCTACAAAGTGAGTTGAAGGCCAGCTTAGACTGCACAGACAGACTGTGTCTCAAAAAACCAAACAAAAAATAAAAAATAAAACTTATCCATACATTTAGACACAT